AATTTATTTGGTTTTTCTCTTTAATTGAAAAGTTTTTGCGAGCTATGGAAGTACTGAGCTGGATGTTAATTTAGGAATAGGACCATGATATTGATCACTGGAATACTCGGTTAATGTTTTGAATATAAATTTGAATAAGGTGCTTTTACAATTAGAAGATCTTTGCAAAGATTTTAAACAGATTGGCATGCTAGAACTGGTACTTGCGTTTAGTGGTCATGCCCATGATTTTATAATTTTGAATGGTGTATCAGGGCTAGTTGGAAAGGTAGATTTTACTGTTAGGCATTTGTCTTCTGCCACTACTAATTTCCCAAGTAATTGGGATTTCACTAGCAGTCAGCCATGTATTGGTGGAGCTGGTGCACGAGCGGTTAGTAATTCATATATCCATATAAATTGCAAATTTCAATGGATCCTTTATTCTGTATAATATTCTTTTTTATCTCATGATTTTATGTTCTTTTTTGTCATTGTTCTTTCCGTTACAGTGCTCTGCATATACTGCTAGTGCGTCATCGGAGAAAACATGGACTATGCGCACTACATTTCCAGAATATGTTGTTGCTCTTGCTACAATTGTTGGATCTGTTCTTTTCTCGGTTAGTTTCTTGCAAATTTTAATATGTTATACTTATGTTTGGAATTGGATAGCAATTCTAGCTTGTAATGTTGTTCTGTGTTTTGTTCGAATATATTGCTTACATCTTGAAATTTTTGGTCAGATATTTGGTGGTGTGGGTATTGCTTGTTTGCCTCTTGGGCTTATAGCTTCATTTATACGCCGGCCAAAAGCTGTTATTACTCGCTCACAGTATATCAAGGTGCTAATTTATATTGCTTATGATACTGCCAAACTGCCACCTGAAACCACAGAATGCAGTAGGAAGATAGTATTGACATTCACATTGTATTGTAATTGCTCATAGCCAATAGTTGTAATTGATATTGTAGGAAGCAACTGAACTTGGTAAAAAGGCAAGAGAACTGAAGAAAGCAGCTGATGCACTTCATCAGGAAGAAAGAAGCGGTTCTAAGGGTCGAAAGTGGCGTAAAAATGTTAAGTCTGTGGAAAAGGTCTATGCAAAGTCCTTTCATATTCATTTTTCATTGAATTATATTTTGTGACATCAGTTGTAGACCACTCTAGTTCTAATGTATATTTTTATTGAGCTTTCCTATTACACTTAAAGATCTAATTAATTCAACAATTTGGCTTGTATTATAATGTTATTATTCTTAGATATATTTTGACCATGATATTAACTTGTGGCAGTTTCTTTTGGTGTTTCCCAGTGAAGAGTTGATGTTAATTAGCGAGCATTGTTTTTTAGGGGATGATAAAATAGCCATCTGGTGGCCTTTTCACATATTGTGACATTGTTCATTATCCATGGCTATTGATATTGTTATATTCTTGATTAAATCAGGAATTACTTCAGCTGGAAGAAGATGTAAAGCTACTGGAAGAGATGTACCCTCAAGGAGAAAAGGTATCTAATTTCACTTGCTGGGCTTCAAGTATACATGGAACTTGATTATGGTCCCATCCCCCTCTTCCAGTATTAACTCCCTTCCCATGAAATTTCAGGCTGAAACATCCTGGGCCTTGACTGTTCTTGGATACTTGGCAAAACTTGTGTTGGGAATCCTAGGGTGAGTGCTTAGTTAATTTATTTTTGTACCAAAAAGGAAATACTCTTTTTTTTTTAATTTCTGAGCTGTATTATTGTTGTGAATTAACAATTGAGTTTGGATATTTTCATGCACTTTATGGACGATAGTGCTTAATGTAAATAAGCTATAATAACAGTGGGTTTGATTTATGCATGATAGAAATAAATTGCTGCTATCCTTAGAATAAGGGATCACAATAAACCTGTTGAACTCTATTTAAATCTGTTAAATTGATGATGTTGGCCCCTGGCTAAAAGGAGTTTATCTAACCTGCAAGTTGCCCTGCACTTTTAGGTTAATTGTTTCAGTGGCTTGGGTTGCTCATATTGTCATATACCTTCTGATTGATCCACCTTTTTCTCCCTTCCTGAATGAGGTTTTCATCAAGCTGGATGATATATGGGGTAATTTTTAAACCTTGTTTTGAGTTTATTGCTTTCTATTTTGCTGCTTTTAAAATTTAAATAGATATATATTTTATATTTTGTCAGGTCTTCTGGGTACGGCAGCATTTGCATTCTTTTGCTTCTACCTTCTTCTTGCTGTGATTGCTGGTGCAATGATGCTTGGTCTGAGATTAGTTTTCATTACTATTCATCCTATGAAGTAATGGATTCCATGTTGATGACATTTTCGTTAATTTTCTATCAGTGGGAAAATCACCAGTTGACTAATATGTTTAATGGACTTGCGTAGGTGGGGAGCTACTCTAATGAACTCTTTTCTGTTCAATGTGGGACTTATTCTTTTGTGCTCTATAAGGTTGGCAACTCAGCTCCTTTATTCAATCTTCTTTGCATGTTATCTCAAGGCACCTGCTATTAGATCATTGTTGAAATTGTATCTCTATGTTTTTGCTCGGTTATTGAAAATTGTATTAGAGAATTGCATGCTGTTATATAAAGGGTGCTTGTTTTCGACATTATCTGATGGGAATTTTGTCTGTATTTGCAACTTCAGTGTCATACAGTTCTGTTCTACAGCATTTGGGTACTATGCTCAAGCAACCGCTGCCCAGGAAATATTCGGCCATACATTGCAATCTCTTCGTGGAATTAAATATTTGTACAAGTGAGTAGATACTGTTTTCAAATCCCTGTTTTACCTTGACCAGACTTGTATGTATTTTTTAATTGTATTCTACTGATGTTTGTATTGCAATTACAGGTACAATGTATTTCAAATTGCGTTCATCATTCTAGCTGGGTTGACCTTCGTGTATTATATTGCATTTGTAAGTTTCAGCTACCTCTACTTTTCTCTTTTATATTTTTCTGAGGATTTACCTGCTTGTGCTCCCTAGATTTCAAGATCTGATTTCTATATTTTTTTCTGTTTGGACATTTCAGGGGTGGAGGAGAAAAAAGCCTAGCGGCAAATTCCAACTTTCATCTTAAGAAGGTTTTCCGCGGAAGATGAAGCATCCTCTCAAGCCATCAGAATTCTCTGTTTACCATCCTTACTGGAGTGTGTTTCATTATGCGCGGATGACAACAGCCTGATTTATCCATAATGTGGAAGGTTTAAAGAAATAGGTAAATCCCATCCGATTTTAAATTCAGTTCCCTGAAGTAGGAGCATGAGAGTGCTGCTACTGCTTGTCTTAATGCTTGCTTTCCTCGCCTTTTGTATGTATTTGCTATTTTTTATTTGATTAATGCTTACACATTTTGGCTTGGGCATGTAATTGAGGTATCCTTGAGAGTTGATTCATGGGAACTGGGTTTTGTCGAACTCGTTTCCATGTAATTGTAACCTTCTGGAGAACAAAAAAGTTAAAGAGCAAATTTTTTTTTTTTTTTTTTGGAATCATATGAAAATTCCCCGATAGCAAAACTAAATCTATGTGAATAGAAATGCAATGATTCAACTCATCAAGTGGCCTCAGTGGTTAAGATGAGTGTTATTATCTCTGGAAGTTCTAAGTTTGAGCAGTTGTGTCTACAAGATTTGTTGCGTTTTTAGGTTAAGAAAATTTTTGAACAGATATTATCTTATCGAATTTGAACACTTGAAGACTTGATACTTGCAACTTTTAGTTTGTCTTTGTTGCAGTCTCAGACAAACTCAGTTCTATTTGTCTTATTTTTCTTTTGGTTTGATTCTTCTTGTTGGGTTAACGTTTTTTTATATTAAGACTGGAATTCTTTTCAGTGGATGGTTCAGAGGCAGCCGTAAGTAATAACCACTTAATTCATGAAAAAAATAACAGGTGGAAAACCTTTTATGATTTTGTGCCTCATTTACTTCATAAATTACAGCCCTAAATCCTCTGTATAACACCAAATTTAGATGGGTAAAAGCAAGGCTCCATTAAATTCTTGAAAATAAGACCATTTTTTTTACTAATGTATCCAAATTATGAAGCATTAGCATTTATTTATATGATACATGCTTTCTCATTATATATTATTTATTTACGTATCACTGGTTCAAAACTCAACGCGTAGTTTATTTCTGTGCGTAAATCTAGGTGGATTAAAATCATAAAAGTTTGAACTACGTTAGACAAATAAGCTACAATATTCTCTTAAAAGTATATAGGCCTTATTCTTCTCTTTTTTTTCTTTCAATTTTGGACTAATATTATAATCATATATTCTTTTTTAATCCTATAATTGTGTTTTTAATCTTAGAATCATATGATTATCATTTTGGCCTATACTTTTTTTTCAGAATATTTTTTATTCTAAACGTTTCGTTTTGGGTAAAGAATATTCCATAAATAGAAATCATTAGTCAGTAAATGATTATCGATGTAATATATAGATATTTTTATCCTTAAATGAAATATTAAAAAGTAAAAATACTCAAAGAAAAAGGATAAATGTCAAAATGATTATTTAATCAAACATTAGTGGTATTTTTTAACATTATGTTTAATTTATCTATTTAATTTTCGATACAACTCAATTAAATTTTCTTAAATCATAAGCAAAAGTTTAATTTAATTCTCGAAATCATAACAATTCAATCTATAACTCTGTTTATGTCTCAGCCAAAAAGACCTATGAAAAAGAATAGAGATAATCGGATGTCTTATTCGATCATCAAGGTATTTTAAATTAAAAGTTTATTATCACATAAATAAATCATTAATTATTAGTATTTAAAATTATTGACATTTGATGGAGAACTATTGCCATTACTTTTTTATTTTAATCTTTATATAAAGAAGTGACTGCTGCCTATGAACCATCCAAATAAAATACACTCGATTCCTACCTCCACCACAATCCATTAAACTCTCAAGAATCAAACCAAAAAAACACGAGACAAATACAAGTGACTTAAACTTTTGTCTGAAACAAAAACACAGCAACATGTTGGGTCCAGGAAGACCTGTCTTCGTTGTCTTTGGATCTTCCATCGTTCAGTTCAGCTTCAGAAACCACGAGGACTTTGTAACTTATGAGTTGATCTTCAGAGCCTATCGGAGAAGACTAGAGCGATGTTTCTTATGTGACGTTTGGTTGGCATGAATCCACCAATTCTACTACTTTTCCATGTTTGGTTCAAGTTTTCCAAGGGAATTGGAATCTCTCATGGTTTCAACTTTCCATCAAATGAGGGAAAGTGAATTCCATCCATTCTATGATGGAATTCAATTCCCTTATTGGAGAGAATTGAAATTTGATCATACTACCCTCATCAATTTTTTGACAACTTATTTATATTGAATAAAATTACAATAATACCCCCTCTATATATAATTTTTTTCAATTAAGTCACTGTTTTTATTGAATAAAAATATTTTTTTTATTATTTCAGGTCGGGTTCGGGTTTAGGGTGAAAAATACCTGATCCGACCCGACCCAAAAAATATATAATTTTACCTTATATATTTAGGAATAATTACAATAATACCCCTCTACATATATATTTTTTCCAATTAAGTCACTATTTTTATTGAATAAAAATAATTTTTTTATTATTTCGGGTCGGGTTTCTAATTCATATATTCGGTTCAGTTTGGGTCGGGTGAAACTTTATTTTGGTCGGGTCGGGTCTCGGATGAAGGTTCCCTTATCTCGGGTCGGGTCGAGTGAATAAAAATAATTTTTTATTTTTTTTCGGTCATATATTCGTTTCTTCAATTCATATATTCGGTTCAGTTTGGGTCGGGTGAAACTTTATTTTGGTCGGGTCGGGTCTCGGATGAAGGTTCCCTTATTCTCGGGTCGGGTCGAGTGGACCAAAAACCCGACCCAACCCGACCCATAGCCATCCCTAATTGGGATGATTTTAACTTATGATGTTTATTAGCATTATTTTTATAATTTATTGAAATGAATAATCAATCAATAAAATTAATTTTTTTTTAAAAAAAATTTATAGTATATTGCTACATGTAATTTATAAAACAAACTAAAATTAAGCAAAACAACAAGAAGGACAATCCTGTCATTTTACATTAATGAAATCAAATTCATCTGACATGTCTGCGAACCAAACAGAATATGGAATTGAATTCCAATTCAATTTCCTACCAACCAAACAGAATATGGAATCCATTAGATTCTAATTCCTGACAGATTCCAATTCCTGACATATTCCAATTCCTTCACAGATTCCAATTCTCTCAGAAACATTCCAGCGAACCAAACGTCACCTTAGTACTCCACCGGTGAACGTGGAACAAATACATAAAATTCTCGGTATTACGAGTCGAACCAACGAAGGCAGCCAGGTTTATTCCGAAGCTTGTATAAAGCTATGCCAAGAACTAGGTATACAATGTGTTTATCTATGGACTGCATTCCGGCAAAGAGATGACTGGATGACTACTTGCTTCACGTAAGTTTCTTTTCTTATTGTTTCGCGATCGATTACTCGTCATTATTAGTAACAATAAAAATCGGTTCATGTGACACTAGAGACGGCATCCATTTCTCCTCCGAGGGGAGCAAGTTGGTGGCTAAAGAGATCTTGAAAGCCATGGAAGAGGCTGATTGGGAACCGAGTTTGTGCTGCAACTCATTGCCAACTGAGTTCGACCAAGACTCGGTCTATGATCTCGTAGGTCGAGATGGCAAGTCCATAAACGTTTCAGACCCTTAATTCCACCAACTGGCAAATTATTGAACAACGACATATGTAATTTGTAGAGGATGAGACAAGATTTTTGAAAAAATATTTTGTTTCACCTTTTAATTTTTTTTAAAGTTAAACTAAAATATATCATTATTACACAAATCATAATTATTTATATTATATTAGTATTGATTGAATTCATTGATAAGTATTATTTCGACCTTTGAATCAATATCAACCAGTAAAAGTTTTGTTTTAGTTAAAAAATTTATAAGTTTCGTTTAAGGTATAATTTTCGATGTCGTGAAATGTTTTAATATTTCTCATATGTAATCAACTATAAAATTTAATTTTATTAAAGGTTTAAATGTGAACCTTTAAAATTATTTTTTTCTCAAGAAACATTTTCAAAATCTTTTTAAAAGTAACAATTTTATAAATATTTAATCATATTTAATGTCTAACTTGAAATGATCGATGACGGTTCTTCTTCAAACATGTACATATTCTTAAGAAAATAATTATCATCAACCTAAAACTGGTCTTGACAATAAATTTTTTGGTAATAAAGAATTCTTTTCTTACAATTAGGTATCTAATTTTTTATGGTATCTAACTTTATATTTATATATAATGTAATTTTTTTACAATTAGGTATCTAATTTTTTTATGGTACATCGAACTTGTTTTTGGTACAACTAGGTATCTAATTTTTATTTTTATTTTTGGGAAAATTATATACATAATATTTTTTTTAAAATTATAATGCCATACATAGAAATTTTATACTAATTTTTGAATATGCAATGCATATTATTTTTTTAATTAAATAATATTAAAATTATAACTATGACTCAATCAGAATTAAAAAGTTAAAACTAAGATAAATACTAAATGCCTAATTGCACAAAAGAATTAAGTACCTAATTGCATCATTAAAAAATTAAAAAAACAAAGAAAAATTAAATATCATAATGCATATAAATTCCAAAATTAAATAATTAAAATTTTCAATTCAAGCAACCTTTTTAGTTGAAAAAAGGCAAACTTTTTCTTGGAGGCGTTTGCTCACTAATTGCTTTGCTGTCTCTGCTTCCCACTTTCAAATGTTACGCAGTGAGCTCTACACGGTTGATAGTTCATTTTGCCTTAATCTCTTCTCTGCCCTTTAATTCTTAAAGAGCTTGCGATCTGCCATGGGAGAAACCAAAATCAAAAGCAAAGCCATTTTACGTTTCCAAAGCATTCAGGGTCTCGCTCCCTCGGAAACTACGACGCTCGATGAGCCTCTCTACCGTGCTGTCCGCCTCCGTTACGATTCCAACGGCGGTCTTGGCGGTGGTTCTCCTAATTTCGCCTGTCTTTCGATTTCGGAGAAGAGAGAACAGCGGCAACGAGGTTTCAAGCCCGCCCCGGGTCAACTCCTCAACCACCCTTTGGCTGCTTTATCTTACGTCCCCAGAGACGCTGCCATTTTCGCTGCTGGCGCCGTCGCCGGAGCCGTTGCTAAAACCGTCACGGCTCCCCTCGATCGCATTAAGCTTCTTATGCAGGTTCTTTAATTGGCCTTTCGTTCTCTCCGCCAGCTATGGCGGACACAGTACAGGATACACACTTATGACTTACCTACTACATTTCCCCCCTTTTTGACCACGTTTTTCTCTTGCGTTTTTTATTTGGTTAGTTAGTAATAACGAAACAATAATGCAGCAATAGATTACAATAATTATAAACATTTTAGCAATTCAATTTCGGTTGAAGATTCGATTGTTTTATCGAATTCAGAACTGTATTCATTCCCCAGAATTCAATCTTTCTTTTTTACAGACTCATGGGGTGAGAGCTGGGCAAGAGAGTGCAAAAAAGGCTATTGGTTTCGTTGAGGTTGTTTCCTGCAATTGATAAGTATTAATTTCAGCTGATTAATGTAGTTGGATTAGATTAAAATTTAAAACTTGGTTACCCTTTTTGGGGATAAATTGCAGGCAATTGTAGTGATTGGGAAGGAGGAAGGAATTAAAGGGTACTGGAAGGGCAACCTTCCTCAGGTTTGTCACAATTCTTACTTATTGAGTTGCATTTGTTATTGTCCAAAAAATATTAAAACTTTAAGGTCTCCTCGACTAATTTGGGTTTCCTTTTTAGAAGTCGCCACCAATTTTTTTTAAAATGATTAAAACATAAAATTCAAATTCAAATTTAATCGACGAAAATGAGTGTCTATGGCTATCTCATAATTTATTTGGAGCGTGTAATTGGTATGAATCATTGAGCTGGGGTTATTCTGATATGGATTTAGTATTAATTGTTTCAGGTGATAAGAATCATACCTTACAGTGCTGTCCAACTCTTTGCTTATGAAACTTACAAGGTAATAAAATAACATGCATAAGCTAGTGTTAGCTAGTACTTGCTCTGAATCCCTTGAGGAAAATCGGAAATAGACCATTTGATTTTTCATTTCCTATTGAATTCTAGAAACTTTTCAAGAGAAACGACGGTGAGTTATCAGTTGTCGGAAGACTTGCTGCTGGAGCTTGTGCTGGCATGACATCTACTTTTGTAAGTGATACAATCATTGAGCCTTCTTATATTTTACTTTTGTTGGGTTCTGCCTGTTATGCTTCATATGAGACATGCGATTCTCTATATGACAACTAAACTTTGGTTGTTGGATTTCTTCATTTTTGTCGCTTGAATCTCGATTTTTTTTCTCGTTTTGATTACTCTCTATATCGTTATTTTCAGTTGTTTATTTTCATATAGATAACATATCCGTTAGATGTCCTCAGACTACGTTTAGCAGTGGAACCAGGGTACCGGAAAATGTCTGAGGTATGCTTAACTCTTTCATTGTTTACTAACATGAAGATGACTATTGTACTGGAAGATGGAACTTTAATTTGATGCTTCCAGATTGCCTTGACCATGTTGCGAGAGGAAGGTTTTGCATCCTTTTATTATGGTCTAGGACCTTCTCTCATTGGCATAGCTCCTTATATTGCTGTGAACTTTTGCATATTTGACCTGTGAGTCCAAAAGACACAGCTGTTTGTGATATCATATGAGATCTCAATCTTAAATCCAGCTTACAAATTCTTATTCCGATAACAGCTTCAAGAGGGCCTTGCCAGAAAAATATCGCCAGAAGACTCAAGCATCTCTACTAACAGCTATAGTGTCAGCCACTGCTGCTACCATCACTTGCTATCCTTTAGACACTGTGAGAAGACAAATGCAGATGAGAGGTTCACCGTACAAATCGGTTTTGGAAGCCATTCCAGGTATGTCAAAATAAAAATTACAATAATCATATCAGTATTTGGCATTTTTGACCAGTCTTGCATGCTTTTTCTCCCTGAGCACAAAGTTGGAACTGCATTCACTTCTGGTTATGTTCCAACAATCAGTATTTTTTATGGTCCAAAATTCCGTATTTCACTATCGAATTATTCGTTGTTTCATTTGTTTTGTTACCATTTCTTCATGGAAAATTCAAACTTGAGACTTAATGGTTTCACTGACCACGGTTTATTCCTACTGTATAGGTATCATCGAACGCAATGGAATTATTGGCTTGTACAGAGGTTTTCTCCCCAATGCATTGAAAAACCTACCAAATAGCAGGTTCACTTCCATTCCTTTCCATCCATTTTTCACTTCTTCCTTGAAAGTATTGTTTGGTTTGGAGCTAGATTATCCTGACGCCTTGGTCATATTATTAGTTCTAATTCTGATACTGCCATGACTGAAATCCGAAAAAACTTTTCACGTCGACGTAGTTTTCTAAGATCGATGTAAAGTAAGGAATAGAACCAAAGTACAGGATAACACACATTTGGATACCCCCATGGTGTTTCAACCATCCTATGATAATTCTGCAACTATTCTTTTACACCATTTTTAAAATATAGCTCTTGCGTACAATTGTTTCAGTGACTTCATAGTCAATGTCATCATCATTTCTTATAGATCAACGTCCATTTTGACCATCCAATTATCTCTGGAGTGGATGCTAAATATTCTTGCTGCACAACTGAAACAGTTTGTGATTTCAGTGACATTTAACACTCTCATTTAATCTGCAGCATTAGGCTTACCACCTTCGACATCGTCAAACGTCTACTTTCGGCTAGTGAGAAAGAGTTTCAGAAAATCGTGGATGAAAATCGCCGGAAAGATAAGGATGAAACCGGTGTTGGTGAATCCCGATCCTTGTGATTTTCCAAGTCAGTTTTTACAGTGCAGTTGCTGTCGAGCTTTTCTTTTGGAACTCATGAATTTCTCGCTTATATTTGTGCTTGGATGGTTCTCTAGATTGCCAAAGGTTGTGCAATAGTCGGGTGTTTTGGCATATCTTTATTTTATTAGGAAACCTTAATAAAATTCGAAAAATATGGTGTAATTGTGGTTTTAGTACCTTTATTATGCTGGAATTTAAGATTTAATCATTTTACTTATTTTGACATAATTTATCTCTCTATTTTATAATGATAACCTCGTTCTTGATTGTTATTCAATTATATAGTTAGAGCCATACGAAAATAGAACCATAAATTTACATGGTAATCGAATGTTTAAAATTGTGTTTTAATGCAACAACAAAAGTTATTATTAATTTGCATTTACTAAAGAAATTATAAAAAATAAAAGAGATCGAATTATAAATTAAAGTAGATGGAATAAACTTTGAATTTTAGCATAATAAAGGGACTAAAACCAAATTAGATCTTAAAAATTAATCTAGTAAACAAATACTGAGTTAATTCCATCAGATATACCTAAACTATTACTCTTATTCTGAATTGATCCCTAAACTTTAAAATATTCTATTTACATCCCTAAACTATTGGTAATCAATTAGATCCTTCCGTTAAAAAGTCTTAATAAAATTGTTAAATGCAAGGGTATCGTTATTAATGTAGAAAGCAGAGTTTTGTGCGGTAAGTTTTCTGTTGACGAGTTATTTGTCTTTATTCGAAGAGATGGTTTCCTTAAACAGCAACATGAAACTGAAGGAGATAAATAGCAGATTCTACTTCTTCATCTTCGCATAAGAGAAAAGCTTAGCAAAGATTAACATTTTTTTCTGACAATACTTATTAATTTTTAGTGTTAATTACCCCATTCATACATGAAGTATATCCAATCCTTAGTTTCATACATAATATTTAAAAATTCTCAATTTCATACAATATGATTTCTACTGTTAACGGGTTCACCCATTTCCGTCATGGAATGCGATGTGACACTTAAAAAATATTTTTAATTAAAAACTAAAAAAATTAAAGTGTTGCATGCCATTTTATCAGGATTCTATGTCACCTTCCGTGACGTAGATGGATGAACCCGTTAACGGTAGAAAACACCCTGTATGAAATTGAAAATTTTTAAACATTATATATGAAATTGAGAATTGGGTATACTTCATGTATGAATGAGGTAATTAACCCTAATTTTTATTACAATTCTTTATCTACCGAGGAGCTCGCCGTTACAGTATTTGGAAAGAAAAAAAATAACTTTTTCCAGTATAAGAAATTTTTACTATTGTGATTCAAAATTAATTTTGTCACTATTAATAGTTTTTTGGTGACAAAATAAATAATCGTTAGATTGAAAAATATATATATATATATATAATTATGACAAAAGTTAAAATCGTCATAATAATTTGTCACAATTAACAAATATGTGTAATATATAGTGACAAAATAAATTTTATTACGAATTTTTGTCACAAATGTTTCCTTCCAATTTTTTGGCGTCAAATTAAAGACATATAGTGACAAATTTTGTTACTAAAAGTTTTAGTAAATATGATAGAAAAAAGTGTCACAACAAATAATGAGATTTAGATTTGTTGTGACAAAATTTATGTGATTATATATTTTAATTATAGTGACAAAATGTATAGTCACAAATGATTATCTCCAATTTTTTATATAAAAAACAAAATCATATAGTGACATGATTTGTAACTATAAGCTATAATTATTGTTATAAAAAAAGTTGTCACAACAAATAATGATATGCAAGTTTTTAGCAAAAAAACAATGTTTGTCATTATATGTATTAATTACAGTGACAAAATATATTGTCACAAAGATTTCCTTCCATATTTTTTTGCGTCAAGAAGTCATACATTAACAAATTTTGCAACTATAAGTGTTAATAATTATTACAAAAAACATTGCCACAAAAAATAATGATATTCACGTTTTTGTGATAAATTATATTTGTAGTTATAAATTTTAGCTATAGTGATAGCATATATTGTCATAACTATTTTTATCCATTTTTTTTTCAAAAGTTATATTGACAAATTTTATAATTATAATTTATAATTATTATTTTAGAAAAAATTATCACATCAAATAATAAAATTTAAGTTTTTTTGTAATTAATTATTTTTATACTTATATATTTTAATCATTATAAAAAATTATACTATCAGAACCATTTCTCTCTATTTTTATTGTCAAAAATATTATATACTAACAAAATATATTGTCATAAAGATTTTCCTCCATATTTGTTTTTTGTCAAAAAAATCATATATTAACAATTTTTGTAACTATAAGTGTTTATAATTATTACAAAAAATATTGTCACAAAAAATAATGATATTTATATTTCTGTGACAAATTATACTTGTAATTATAAATTTTAATTATAGTGATAACATATATTGTGATAAATATTTTTCTCCAATTTTTTTTGTTTCAAAAAGTTATATTGATAGGTTTTGTAATTATAATTTATAGTTACTGTTATAAAAAATTTATCACATCATATAATAAAATTCAAATTTTTTGTAATCAATTATTTTTGTAGTTACATATTTTAATCATTATAAAAAATTATACTATCAGAAATATTTTTGCCTATTTTTTTTGTGCCAAAAATGTTATATAATAAACGTTTTATATTTATTGTTATAGAAAAATTATAACAACAAAAAAGTTATTTTTAATTGATAAATGATTTTAGTTTTTATGAAAAAATATTTTTGTAGTTATACATTTTGATTATAATGATAAAATATAATTATTACTGTTAAGTCAATTGAAAAGATGAAATAAAGGTACTAAACATAGTAAATTTAGTCAAAATAAAAATTTATGCTAAATTTATCTATTAGTAAACTAGTAATTTTTTAATGAAATAATTTTTTAAAATAACTATTAAAAAATTATTAAAAAAAATTAATGAGCTGCTCGTAAACTTATGAATCGAGTTAGAGTTTGTTCAACTCAGCTCATTAAGATCTCGAGTATAGTTAACCCGAGTCAAACTTTTACCGAATTTTGATCAAATCGAATTCAAACTGCTCAGACTCATTAAACACCCCTACTCTCTTCCATTAGATTTTTCATCTTCTGAAGTTTCGTTTTAAGGATTTCTCTTGTTTCTATTATCTTTTGCAAAGCTGGACTTGTCATGTTCAACCATTTAACCATAAAACCCAAACAAAACGGAGGAGAATATCAACCCAATTGACCCATTAAAATACTGAAAAATAGGGTTACATTTATAAAGTCTTTCACTTTCGCTGAACTCTTTTTCATTCCTCCGTCAACGGCTGCTGCAGACTCTCTCTCCAGGATTTGCCGCTTTTCATGTTATTTTTTTTTTACTTTTGCTTTGCTTTCAGTGTTAATTCAGCTCAAAAAAATGTCAGGGTAAGTGAAAATCTATTCCTTTCTAAAGTATCAAGGCGCTTTGTGCCGATCACAATATTAAATTGCTACATGTCCCGAGTTCTAAAACTCTCGAAGCTTGTGTCGATGTAAGTGACATTTTATTGCTTATTCACGTTCGAATTATTTTGAGCGTTTTGAGCGGCAAATCGAAAGTGACCCTATTTGTTGATGTCGATGATAATGTCATTTTATTATTTAAAAAATAAAAATATAATATCAATAATTATATTAATTTATTAATGATAAATAATTAAAAGATAACATGACATATAATTTTAAAAAAGAATTGAGTGATTAAAGTAAAATTACATTAATAATAAAGTACAACGCATACTATATACTACAGCCCCATTGTAATTATCAAATAATATTGTTTTCCTTTTCCCTTATTTTTTTATCTCTCAAATTTCTAATACCCCTACGCACAGCAGATACCCGCATGGAGCGTCCACCTCTCCATCGTAGAAATATGATCTCAAACGCCTCTCTCTAAATATTATTGGATCTAGGGTTCTGGGTTTTCTTTTTCCACTCTAGTCAATTTGTCATCAAATCTAGTGGTTGTGGCTGCTCCACCGTTTCCTTCAATCCGATCTCTTTTAACGCCAATGCCTCCTCGCGCATCTAAGCGAAAATCTGCCCCACCTAATTCCTCATCCGTCACATCATCCGACTGTCGTTCTGGTAAGTCTCCCTTCGCCGTTTCTTTCTATGGGAGAATAAAAATTGATGGTGCTATTCTAATGTTTGCTACACGAGAAAGCGCGGGAACCAAAAAGATTAAATGATTTTTTTTTTGGAAAAAAAGACTTTGAATTGTACAGGCCCAACAAGCCCCGATAATTATTTACAACAATTGCCGTTTTTTTCTTTTGGGTTGTTGCTGTGTGAATGAAGGTTATTATATTCTGATTGGTTTCTCAGAAACTGCGGGAAAAAGTGAATATATTAAATTGAAGCATCGTGCGCTTACTAATAAAAATATCCCTATAACTAACATCGGTTAAATCATTTCTATTATAGGTTTTCTGGTTGAATGATTATTTTGCAACTTATGTCTACATCCCGCTCAAATTTTGTAATATCCCCTTGATTGAATTAATGTTATAATATTACAGGGTCATTTTTTCCCCACAGCAAATTAGAGAAAATAGCAAGTAGGGGAGACTTGCATAAAAAATAGGGTCTTTTCTAGCATTATACCTTAAGATAATGCCATGAGTAAGGAGATCAACCTTTTGAAAGGAATTTGCTTAACATCTTTGCCGCTCAAAAATAGGGTTGTGAATGTTGATTATGCTTCATCTTTGCATACAATTATGTAAGATAGACTCTCAAGGGAAGGCATGGAAGGTTGTTGGTTGGTCCTGCGTAGTTATGAATGTATGCATATATACATCGAAGTACAATATAGTTTACTTAAAAATGTATTTGTGTAACCCCCAGACCCAGTCTGTAAGTTAGACCCAAACCTAAGTAGTCACATATTCCATTCAGATTTTTTTTTAAATAACTTATAATACATTAGATATAATATAGAACAAAATATTAATAATACAGATATATCCAAAACAATAGCAAATACATGTCACCAAACATAACCGAAAAACATATAGAGATATACGTTCGTACAAAATAAGTAGTTGATCTCCCCTGATGCCA